TGCAAAAGCTTGACATTAAACTTCACTGTTGTGGAAAAAAAAAAAATCTACTATGTTCATGGAAACTTGAACTTGTAAGAAATCAGGGAGGAATTTTTTTTCTGCATTTCCTACATTTTTTGGTTAAAATACAATGGAAACAAAATTTCCATCAGTTCTAAATACACAGTGCAGTGTTTTGTTAATGAGCAACACTTTGCTTATTGGGTTTTAAGAAGATGTTTTTTTCACAAAGTTTTAAGAGCTTTGTGTGTATTTGCAAGTATCTTCTCCAAATAGAACATACTGAAAATACTTGGTAGTTTACTGCAGATGGTTACCTTCTGAAGGCAAGCGATGGTATGTTTATGGTGTTGATTTAAATCTTTTTTGATAGGGAAATTCTAACAGCAGAGAAGGCAATCCCAAAACCAAGGGCTTTCAATTCATTGGGGCAAACTTTGAAAACTTGCACTATGCTTGATCTAGTGAAAGACTGGTGAGCCCTCCTGTGCAATTCCATGGATGGCTTCTTGGAGTTGGGCTATAGAGACAGAATGAAAAAGTTACAACAGAACTATTTATGTATTACCAAGAAATTGGCATGGAAATATTTCTGGTCACTTGGTCTGTTTTTAATAGAAATTATGAAAAAAAAAACATAGATCTTACATATTTTTTAAAATCCCATGAAGTTCTGTGTAATGACAGCAGTGTGACAGATTCACAGCACTCCTACATTCTTCCCCCACTGCAATTAATTATATGATTTCTTTCCACCCTCACAACATTTGTTCTTTCCTTTTTTGAGCTAGCTGCAGATAGAAAAATCTGTGCCAGCACAAGTCTAAATCTGGTCCATCATGCTCAAAGAGAGTTCTAAGTCTCGAAAGTGTACAAAAATGGATTCTCTTATGTCCAAGTAGCAATAGTCTGCCCCAGCTGAGGCTGTTCGTTTTAGTATAACTACTGAGAAGCAGCCACAACTGCCGTGGTGCTCAGTGACAAACATGCTCATGGGTAGAACCTCGGAACCGTGTACAGAATCGGTTGCTGGTACAGAAAAGGAAGTTGTCTAGTTTATCTTAGCAGAATTGCTGTTTGAGTTCTAATTATTTGTGTATTGATCCAACAGTTTTGGTGTTTAGAGCTTGCATTCAGAAGGGATGCATGTTAACTACATGTATGTTAAGTTTGCTTTGATTTTTGTCTTACAGCACTTCAAATATTTTAGAAATGAGTTTCTCTTTGCTTAGCTAAAGTCTTCTAGACATGTAGGCATTTGGTGTACAGAGGCTGCTTGACTTTGGGAAAACATTTATTTGTAAATAGTTTTTAGCATCAAGTAATAAATATTGTCCTATCTAACATTAGGAGGATGTATCTTAAATCATTATTCAGATTGGAGAAAACAATTATTTTGTTTTGATTATTTCTCAACTACTGGTAGTTGCTGAATATTGCTGTTGCCTAGTAGTGAAATAATTTTGGAATGCAGAGGATTTATTTTACTGTGCCTATGCAAAGTAAATTTTATATGCGTGTTATTTCAACCAGTCATTCTTTTGAAGAATGTATAGACATGAGCTTCTTTCTTCAAATGAGTGCCCTGCGACTGAAACTGTGGCTGAGAGCTGGCATGGACACCAACCTGAAAATTAATTAATCCAAAGGGAAATTTCCATGTATAATGTTGATAGAAATTTTGTTTTATCAAAAGGAAGCATTTCACAAAATTCTAACTCAATTAAAAAAAAACCACAAAGAACTTAAAATTAAAAATAGCACAACAAAGCTTAAAAGTCTAAACTTCTAATTTGAAAAACAAACAAAAAAAAGAAAATATGTCTTGAATTCTTTTGAGAGGCACTCTTTGCCAAGGTTGATGCAAATTTAGGAATAGTTTAAATGGATATAAATCTGTTTTCCCATAGTTACTCATCTGAAGATTTTCAATGAGCTCTAACCGAGGCTTCCTTTCATAACAGGAAAAATAAGTAAAGATGTCTCAGGTCAGTTATATGATTCCAAGTCCACAGTCATTAAAAATGAAGCCGTTTCTCTAAATTATAAGATTGAATGAAAAAATTTATATTAATGTTATCTTTAAATGTGATTGTGGTCTTTTTAAGTTTTATCACATTTGCAACACTCTTATGGTTTCCTTTGAAACCTTTGAATAAAAATGTATTTTTGTAAATGGAAGCTGTGAGCCTCAGGCATAACTGCTTTCTGTCAGAATCTAAGTGCCACTGCCCCTGCCTCCCCCACTCCCAACCAGTAACAGCAAAATCTGAACAGAAAAACACCTGTTCCTTGAGCTTCAAGATAAAAACTTGTATTATGAGTTCCTAAATACTTTTTAAAAAAAATAATCCCTTGACAGTCATAGCACTGAAACAAACCATTGAGTGTCATTTTAAAGTAGCTTGCAACATCGTCCGCTAAGCTAAAACGTTCTTAAAGATGAGAATGGAGATATTCCAATGTATTCTCTGAGGTCTTATATTTTTTTCCTGAGAATTTAGTTTTTTTAGAGTGAAATGTTACTTTTGCCTGCTCCATTGTCTTTTGTATGTCAATAGTTGTATATTGAAGACTGTAATGTAATGTGAAGGTGGCTCCTGGTTTTCTTTTTCCTTGTCTTTTAATACTCTTAAACCAGGATTTCTTCCATATTCCTGCTCTAATGCTAGTGAAGAAAAATAATATTTTCTTGTAGAAAGGTAACTTGCCATCTCTTTAGTAAAAACTGAATTAATTCAGTAATTTCAAGCATCTGTGCTCCTCCAACTTTCAGTGTTACAAAGCTACAAAGGACTAGAGAATACAGTAAGTCTGTAATCTCTAATGCAAGATGTCATTTAGTTTGGAATCGTGGCAAAACCACTGTATTGGCTGGTTAAGGTAATCCACAAAAATGATATCCCTACGATTGAACATAGTGAAAAAGCCTTTGAAAATAAATGGTTTGATTCTGTTCACTTTGCAGCATCTGTTGCTCTTTGTCATTGTCTTCCATGTCTTTAATTCACTCATTCATGATAATCATTGAATATAATTTCTGAACTATTTGAAAATTTGTTTTGAATTTATGCACTGAATTTCTGTGCTAATAATGCCAGTCTTGGGATCATAAATGTTGAGTATATTAGTAGATTTTAAATGGGAAATTTGCTATATCTAGAGGAGTTTTGAAGTTTATTGGGACCTTTTAAGTTTATATAAATAATTAAAAAATGATGAGATTTAGAAAAGAGAAAAATTACAATTAAATAAAAGCAGGACTGTAAATGAGTAGTTTACATTTGTATGCTCTTAACTGAGCGTATGCCTAATAAGATGCAAATATTAAGAGAATCAAGATCCGTACACGTATTAAACCAGTGCTATTTAATGATAGAACAGATTGAAAGTGTCTGACTGTACAGAATTCTACCACTGGCAGTACGTTTTTCTATCTGAAATAACTGATAAAATACATGATTTCAAAAGGTTATTTTCTTAAGGTTTTGAATTTTTCATTTAGTCTGAGCTCAGGTGTTAGTGGATTATATGGTTGTGTGGAATTAGTGTTTTTTTTCTGGTGGGGTGTTTTTTGGGTTTATGTAGTTTGTTGTTGTTGGCTGTGTGCTGTGTTTTTTTGTGTTTGGTTTTGTTGTTTGGGGGCTGCTTTTTGTTTTGTTGTAGTTTTGTTTTTAGAGTGTGAAGTTGCAGAATATCCATTAATACAAAAAAGTCTGGTACCATGCATCTAAGTAATTTAATTCCTGCAATTAAATGTCTTCTGGCACAGCCCTTGTGGCTATTCAGGAATTCATATTTCTATAAATTCAGTATGCTGTGTAGGCAGTGAATAGAGGGGAAAAATGAAAAGAAAAACAAACATAAAAATATAACCTGAAATCAACATCATAAACCATCATAATTTAGGATAGTTATCTATGTTCCAACCTTAACATGGGCAAAATCCTTTTTGACCTTGATTTGTATTGAGTAAGAAGTGTAAGATGTACCTCTTAAACAGAGACAGACCCCTGCACGCAGATGTAGTACAAATATTTTAGGACAAGTTACTGTGTTTTGAAAAACCTTGAAGTGTAAAAACCCAGTAAGATAAAATAGAAATGTTGTTATTCACTGAGAGATTAATTATTTCTAATGTTTTTCTTTGTCACATCTATTGAGTAAAGTCTGTCTATAGTTTAGGTTTATATATTTGAGTGTTGTGAAGTTGTTGGTGCCTTTCTGTATAACTCAATAAAATTATTTTTTCTGTTGGAGGTACTTTTTGTTGAATTCAGTTCTTTCTGTTGAATCCCCTTTGCTTGCATCTGACCTTTATGTTGATTTTGCTTCATTTTTTCATTTACCATGCTGTTCAGTTTTTGGATGCCAGGAGAACAAAGGTTTGTCCACTATTTGCAGTCAATTTATTTTTTCAAAATTCAGTATTGCTTATTGTGGTTTTTATTTTGTTTGCTTGTTAGAGATACGGTAATCCTGTTTACTAAACATGTTCATAGCTTTGCTTGCCAAAAGAAAAAAAACAAAACCAACCAGCCCCTACTCAGCCCCTCCCCAAAGCCCCCTTCAATTATGGTGAGTGCTTTGATTGACTTTAACAGTACTGTTGAGCACCATGAAGGGCAGAATTACCTTTAGTCTATGAAGTAATTTAGAAAACATGGAATACTGAGTCTTTCAGCTTTGTAGGTACATGTTGACTATATTAATGGATGTGTCACTGTCTAGAGTTTGATTTTGTTCGTTTGCCTTTCTTTGCTATTTATTTTATCTGTAGCTGACACTATTTTGTGTGTGTTGTCATCTTTTTTTTTTAGAAGCACTTGAAAGATATAATTAAAAATAGTCACATGCATTTGCTATTTTATAAAGTCATTGGATATACTTTCATCATTGTTTCTAATGAATTTTTGTAATAGCATACAACAAAAGTTTAATCAAAGACTAACCCTACATTCAGATTCTAAATTGATTTTTTTCTTTTCTGTTTGCAGCATCTGCAAATGACAATCCAGGCACTTCAAGATGAGCTTAGAACCCAGAGAGACCTTAACCATCTTCTCCAGCAAGAAAGTGGAAACCGAGGGGCTGAGCATTTTACCATTGAGCTCACAGAGGAGAATTTCCGAAGACTTCAAGCAGAACATGATAGACAAGCTAAAGAGCTCTTCCTGTTGAGAAAAACGCTGGAAGAAATGGAGCTTAGGATTGAAACACAAAAGCAAACACTAAATGCCAGAGATGAATCAATAAAAAAGCTTCTGGAAATGTTGCAAAGTAAAGGTTTGCCATCTAAAGGAATGGAAGATGACAATGAGAGAACTCGAAGGATGGCAGAGGCTGAATCTCAGGTTAATCATTTAGAAGTGATTTTAGATCAGAAGGAGAAGGAAAACATGCATCTTAGAGAGGTAAGGAAAAAGTCATCAATTTGTTTAAAAGATATTGTCCAAGTACTTGCTGCAGTTTTAGAAATACACTTTAGAATATCTAAGTGTTTTCTTTTTCTGCTCTCATTTCTTCTTAAAAAAGATGAAATGCATTTTTTTTACATCTGTAATAAATACACAACAGGACTATATGACATTTGAAAACAAATATAAGAAATTACGTAAGAAAAGTAATTTGGGTCTTATTGTCTCTGACGTTGCTTTGCGTAGTTTCTGTAATCTTTGTATTTTAACAAATGTGTGTTTGGCAAGTGAAGACTAGAACTACTGAAGAGGGAAGCAACACCATCTGCTGCTATAACTACATAGTCATGAGTGCATGCTACTTCTGTGTTTGATTTTATACCCCTTGTGTTTGAAAGGAGTGTTTTAAAATGTTTTGCTTTCCACATAAACAAAGGCTTCTGCCTATATGGATTTCTAATGTATTTTCATGTGTAGTGCCTCAACTTTTTGAGTAAATAAACCACGTAATGTTGCCACATTAAAACACTGGGGTGATGGCTGCACTGTACTTTGAGAGATCTTTAATTTGATCCCAAGCCCACCCACACCAGCTGCCCACACCACTTGTGAATGCGATCTTGGGACTGGTTTTGGGATGAGTGAATTAGTACAATTGAAAGAAAATCCAATCTGACGTCAAGCCCATCTGCCCCTGTACATCCCAGCAGCCCATCAGCATTGTCATGTGGCTAGTGTCAGGCAAACAAGACAGTGTGAGTCTTCCTCAGAAAGACTGTTACTTCCTGCTAAGAGGGGCAAGAATTGCAGGGAGATCAAATACAAGCTACCCACAGTAAGAGGAATCTGGATCAACAGGTCTGTTTCCTTAGAAACTCAGCAACAGCGTAGTCTGAATTTCCAATCTAGTGAAAACACCGATTTGCCTGACACATCAAAGCATGAAAAAAATCAGTGCAAGAGCACAGAAACCATTATTGGCTCCTGTGTGTCACTAACCGTGTGAATGCTAGAGGTTAAGAACAGCTATTTACATCTACAGAATGTTGTCAAAATATTTTCTTCACTATGGACAAATTCTTTCATATTTAGCTTATGGCTCCTTTAGTTTTCTATTTTCTTTGCCCTTTTTTTTTTTCCTTCTCTAACCTAGAATATGTATTGAGGACTCAGTGGTATCTGAGGCCCCGCTGAAGCTTGAAAACTGGAAAATTTGCAAGGCACAATGATACATTTTAGTAAAGTTTTCTTGTGAAGATGTACATCCTGAATCTTTTCACGGGCAGAATTTTAATTGAAAAGAAATGCCACCCGTTAATGAGATTTCAAAGTCAATAGATCCTGAAAGGAGTTGCGTAAGGAATTAATGATACTGAGTTTGTGATGAGGGAGGATTGTGGGAGAAGTTCCATAAACTAGCAGGCAAGTTTCTGGATTTAGATCTGCTATTCTGAGAGTAGTGCATACAGTTTGTTTCAAGGATGGATGATATATTATTGATGGTTTTGTTATATGATTGTATTTCGCCTGTGACACCAGCAGCACCTCAGTTTGTGAATCCTAATTTGGTTATGTATTGGAAATGCATAAATTTACAGCGGAAATTTGAAGGAGGTTTCTAAGTAGCACAGTAGTCGAGAGCAGTGAGAGAAATAGAACTAAATAGAGCTTGAAAAGTAGCTGAAGTGTAAACTTCCAAGTCAAGTCCTTGAGCATCCAATTTATTGATTAGTCCAAGGAATGCTGAAAGGACATCGTATTGCTGCTTGTAGACTGTGGATGTTTCTCCCGTGTTTATACTGAATTAGTTTTATGTTTGAGTGCCCCTGGCAGATGTGAAGTTTTGTTGTACGCAGCTTGGAAGTACAGTTTGTAGGGTGTATGAACTCCTTAGAAACTAAATGTTTAGTAGATGACTGCTTTTTTTTCCAGGAATCTGTATACGATTGTTCAAGTGTGCTCTTGAAAAATGTTCTGATGTCCTGATTTTCTCTTTTGCTTTCTCTTGTTACGGGAAATTGTCTGCATGGTTTGAGGGAATATCAGATGTTCTGTGTAGTTTTATCGCTTTGTTAAACACCCAAATGGATCTACTTTTGATCTTCATGTGTAGCTTGGTAAGTCCTTGTTATTCTGCAGTGCTTGTTTGAATTGCTGTCACTGCATGTAGTCTTCATCCTTCACAATATGGTTTTCCAACATGATAAAACAGGAATTAGCGTGTTGAATCTTCTGCAGTAGTCCCTTCAGTGGATTGATATTTTTATTTTTATTTTTATTTTTTTTTTAACCAGTGTTTGTAAGCTTTTGTCCTACACGTGTAAATGACCTTGCAGAGTTACTGGATTTTTTTTTTTCCTCCTGCGACTGCTTTAACTGTAGACTAGAACTTGGATATGCTTTAATTAATTTCATTCATGAATTATTTAGTATTCACTCAAATTACATTAATCTTCCTGTATCTTCAAGAAAATATTTGTCATTTTAGAACTTCATCTAAAACATTCTGGTTTCTGTATTTTTACAGGTTGGAGTATAGAGCTTATGTGTTGAGTATATTTCTGAGAAACTAGTATATTGTCATGTGTAAGATACTATTTTATCAAATCCTGAGCCCTTCTTTCTGTTTTTTAATTAGTTTTGCTATTTGACTTTCTGACACTGCGCTTGAAACAAATCAAGGAAGATAAACTTCTTTGTAGCAGCAAATTAAATTATTCAATGAACAGAGTTTACTAGTGTCTCAGTTTACCCTGACAATGGTTGATTCTGCGGTAGTCTCAAGCCGAGAGTGCTATCTATGAAAAAAGCTGAAGATGGTGGAAATGAGGTTTAATGTGGAAAAAATAACTGAAGACTACTGGTTTTCTACAGCCTCAACACTACATTAAAAAGCATATGTAGATCGACTTCTCATAAGCTATGCTGTTGGTATTTAGTTTAAAAATACATTCAACGTGAAGTTTGTCAGTTCTTGAAACCTAATTGTGTACCAGCCTGTTACCTTTTAAATGAAGGAAGGGCGAGACTTACATCTATTTTGCTAAGCTTTTGAGTTGTGTTTTCCTCTAACACAACCATATCTTTCTCCCTTATGCTGCACTAAAATAGTGCCAAAGCTGGAATCTTTCTTCTCTCTTGTTCGTTCAGTCTTTTAGATCTCTCAACATGGTGGAATAGAAAGCTAATGGATGAGAAGCAGAAGAAACTGATTTTATTATTAATAGTCGCTGGTGGGTGGAATTTTGGCCGAACCAGAGAATTAAACTAATGCTGTGAGAGAAACTGAAGCAACTGGTTGCGAAACATAGACAATTAAGGACACCCTGTTCTACACACTTATGTCTCCAATGGCTGTCAGTTCTGTCTCCTTGACCTGCACCCTCCTGAGCACTGATCATACTAGGGATTGAATTGTAAGGGATATGTTCTTTGCTATTCCAGAGCTGCTTTTGTCTAGCTAGGGTAGAGAGAAATAACTTGGCTTGTTGTCCTTCAGTCTCTACCACTTTGTCAATTATGAAATGTTTCTCATATTCATTTTCTGCCCATTTCATGTAGGCATGCGCATTACCAGAAACGAATATCCTACTGTTCTGATTCAAAATAATTTGCCAAATATCCAAGAATCATTTAAAAATTTATCTTTCTTAAGCCATTGATTGTTTCCTTTTTTTTCTGTGAATAGCTGTAGCAGAATTTCTTAATATAGCTTCCCTCAGAGATCTGGAATTTCTCCAGGCCTTAGATTTTATTTCTTAAAGAAGGTACAGAGAAGAGACATACAACTAGGTAGTGTACCAGAGACATTTGAATAACTCCGGAAAATAAAACAACTGTTTTTTCTTTGTTTTCATAGTCTTAGCAGATTTGGACTCGTGGTATGTTAACTACCTGGCCCTCAAAGATTGTACCTTTATAACTTTGTTTCACAGAGGCAAACTTGTGATGATAGGTTTACTCAAATTTTGTGTTTGAAGGTCTTATGAATGGCAGATTTGAGGCTTGTTATACAGAAGGAGGACGGCATGTCAGGGGAAGTTGGAGTCCTTTTATAGGAACAGTGAAGAATGTCAGTGTCCATAAGGTTCATTAAAATGTTGGGAAATAAGTTATGCAAAAAATGAGATTTCTTTCCATGTGTTAAGGAATTCAAAATGTAGACAATAAACTCTCACAAGGATAGCTAGATTCACAGCTTTGCTTTATTTATAACAGAAGTTTCCTTACTTCCTGATTGACAAAGCAAGAAAGAACAAATAAAACTATGATTGAGTAGCAAAAAGCCTGAGCACGTGTTTCTGCTTCAGTTTTGCAGATGCAGCCTATTGAGGAGAGCTCAATGTTGAGCTCTTTTCCATGACCTCTGAGAACTGTCCAGTTTGTACAGTTTTCCATCACTGAGTTAGGCTGAATCCTGTGTCTGTAACTCGGTAACCTCACTCAAGTATTTTTGTTAATGTTTTTCAAAGGTAGCTAAATTTTATTAATATTTGCTGAGACAAAATGCTATAGCATTTGCTTTGAGGAAATAATGTATCCTGTGTGGAACAAAGTGGTCTTTGCAAATACACACACATAAGAAAAAGGACATTCTTGGGCCAGGTAGTCTCCCTGAAGTATGTTAATGGTTGAAAAAATGTCTTGAAGCCATAATGATATACCATGGCATTCTTTGTGTTCAGAATTATGTGATCATGAAGATCACTAAATATACATTCCTGTCAGAAAATGCAAGATGTCTGCCTTAAAGTTCTTAAATTGGTTATCACATGTCTCTTCTAGAATTTAAATAAACATTTTTTTCTCTATAACTTTGTGAGAACTGTAGGTAATATGAGGATTTTATCATGTGGAAATCTAGCACAGATGTTTGGTATTACTTTTTTTAAACATAGTGACCACACATTATTTACTCTAAGTACCATTAAGTATTTTTTTATTATTGCTATTAAAAACTTGCCTTAGGCAAAGTCCCACTGAATTTCTAGTAAAGT